ACAGAAGCATGGATGGGATGTTCAGTCTGCCATAGTGAAAGTCCGAGAGCCGAGGCTGCTCATTGTTACCATTGCTGCAGGAAAAGTCCCTTTTGCGTTGATTGTGTTACATGCACCAAGCAATCATCTAGGAGAAGAAGTGCAGGAAACGTGGTGGGCACAAACAACCAAGTCCGTGAAAAGAGCTGTTCCTCATAGTCATCATGTCATTGTCCTCGCTGATGCAAATGCACAGCTCCTGAGGCCAGGTGATTTGGGTTCATGCCGAGGACACTATAATGTTAGTTCACCTGCAGAAGAACTCTTCTTCGACTGGTTGCAGACAGAAAATCTAGTCGTAAGAACTCGAGAAGATGATGAGGGCCGATCATTATTTACGTGGTCCCACTCTAGTGCAACTGACGTGGATGAAGTTCAAAAGGGGTCATGCTTAGACTATATTGCCACTTCGTCCGATCTTGCATCCTGTGGCACAAGCATTGACTTGAGTGGTTTCGATACAGGTCGCGAGAAAATCGATCATCTGCCTGTAGGGATCGAGTGCAAGACATGGATCGGCACGTCATTCCAGAACATGCCAAAGAGAAAGCCTCGTGTTGATGTGGACATCATTAACACGCCGGCAGGTGAAGCTATTTGCAAACAAATTGCACTGTCAATCCCGCAAATCCCGTGGGAAATTGATGCGACCTCCCATGCGCAGATCTTTGAAGAGCATGTGAGTGACGCCATGTTACAATATTTCCCTAAGCCTAAGAGACAGCCAAAGAAACCCTTCCTTGACCAAGAAGCTATTCAGTTGGTCAGACAGAGACGTCTCACACAACGCTGGTTGAAGCAGTTAAAAGCCTTCCGTCGTCTTTGCCAGACATGGTTCTTCTTTCAAGCATGGAAGTACCATAAGTGTGAGGACCGCTCTTTGCCTGACTTTCGTAGTTGGAATTCAGAGGGAGGCAGGTGCCAAGGGCAACTCGAGCTCTTTGCAAGAGATCTAATGAGAAAGTACCAGAACGTAGCAAAACACAAGCTGAGGGCCTATGTTTCAGATTCGGTCACAGTAGCCTCGCAAGAAGGATTAGACCATCTGTTCCAACGGCTGAGAAAGTTGACCAAGTCTAGAAAACACAAGACTAAGTTCAGCTTACCAGCTTTACAAAAGCCAGACGGGGCAGTAGCCAATACGCCTCTTCAGGTTTATGAGATATGGGAGAAGCATTTCCAAGAATCTGAACGAGGTCAGTTTGTTGATTCGATGGCCTTGCAACATGAGCACCAAGAAAAAGCATTTAAGCGCTTTGTAGAGACCGCTCAATCCAACGAAGTGCTTACTTCGGCTGATGTCCCCACGCTCCAAGAGTGTGAACAAGCGCTATTGAAATTTGCCAGAAAGAGAGCGCCGGGACTCTCTGGAATACCAATTGACCTCTTGAGGAATGCTGCACCAGACTTTGCACGCAAAGCTTATCCGCTTGCGCTCAAATCCGTGCTGCGATTCGAAGAGCCGCTACAGTGGCAAGGTAGCCTCATTGTGCCGATCCCGAAAAGCAATGGGATCTCACCACACGCAAAAGATTGGAGACAGATCAGTCTTCAAGAGGGGCTGGCAAAAATGACGCATAGAGCATACCGTGAGAAGTTGATGCCATACTTCGAGTCTTTTGCTTCCCCATTGCAAGGAGGGGCCAGAAGAGGCATGCCAACGTCACTGCCAGCACAGGCAGTACGATTGTTCCAAGGTGCTTGTCATCAGAGGAAAATCAGCTCAATGGTGATATTCCTTGACGCAAAGCAAGCATACTATCAAATTGCTCGGGATGTGCTATGGTTCCGGCAGTGGCCGCCAGATAGGCAAAGGGATTTTCTGGATCGCATGCCATGTTCGGAGCACATGAAGCAGCAAATAGGAGAGGTATTTTCTGCTCGCTGTCCACTTGAACAATGTTCTGTGCCCAGCAAGATAGGTAATATCATCCAATCACTCTTTGAAGATGTGTGGACCACAATGGGAGTCAATGGCATGCCGTCATGCTCCATGACCGGGACACGTCCGGGAGACCCGCTGGCAGATCTCCTGTGGTCAATCGCATTTGGGAGTGTAATCCGACAGTTGAAGTCTGATTTTACCGAGCTTGACCTTGTTGTACAGCTTGACAGTAGAAGATTCACATGCCTTCCAATATGGGCTGATGACCTCTGTGTGCTAGTTTCGCATTCTGATCCATTCCGATTGATAGAACTTGCCAGCATAGCTTGTAATCGCCTCTCCAGGGCATTCGCTAGCTTAGCTGTCGAGCTAAATCTCGGAAAAGGAAAGACTGAAATTATCTTCAGTTTCCATGGACTCAATGCCACTAAGGCCAAGCGCCAAGTTGCAATAGATATGGGCAATCAGATCCCATTTCAGGATTTTGAAGGCACAAATAGGTTTGTGCATATTGCTACTACCTATAAGCATCTTGGAGGGCTAGTTGGTAGAGCTCATCAATTTCGAACGGAAGTCCGCTCTAGAGCAGGGATTGCTGGCAGCGCTTTTCGAGCTCTACGCAAGCATGTCTTTGCTAATCGAACTATCTCCAGAGAAGTCAAGTTGCACATTTATGACGCAATTGTCAGATCTAAGTTCTATCACCATGCGTCATGTTGGTCATTTTCGACGCAACAGGAATGGCAAGTGTTTGATACGGCTGCATTCCGGCTCTTGAGATCACTTGCAGTTGTCCTGCATGGACATGAGTGGAAGGAGGCTTCCAACGAGAAGATTGTTGCCAGATTAGGAGTTCTGCATCCGAGACAGCTACTGAGAATTGAAAGGCTGCGGCAATTTCAAAAGATTTGTCAGTTTGCTGATGCGGATTTCTGGGCAATCTTGGAGGGAGAATCAAACTGGCTCCATAATATGCTATACTCTGACCTACTTTGGCTTAAAGAGAATCGTCTGTGCCCAGACTGGCTTTGTATTCCTGAAGCTTCGCAGGTTCAAGGTCTGGCTACATTGTTGGCAGACAAAGGGGCAGAATGGAAGACGCATCTCAAGCAGGTAGGAAAAGCATGTCGCCATCATGCTCAGAGGTTGCAGGAAGCCCATGAGTTTGAATGTAAAGCACTCCAGATGCTGCGACAAATTGGCGTCATTTCTTTCGAGCAGACACACGGTAATATGCAGAAAGCAGTCAAAGGTTCCTTCCGTTGCCAAGTTTGCGATAAGATCTTTGGCACATTGAAAGCCCTTGGAGTGCGCAAGCATAGACAGCATGAAGTTTTCTCTGCACAGTACTACTATGCGAAAGGAGACACATGCCCGGTCTGCCTAAAATATTATGGCAATAGTGAAGCGCTTCAGCAGCGCTGGCAATATAAGAGGGGCACATGCTGGAGCATTATCCAGGAAAGTGATCTCGACCCGGAAGATTTTGGAGGTGATAGAATTGCCAGAGAGCTCGAGATTCCGCCGCTAGCGGGAATGCAATGTGCAGGACCCAAAGCATGGTGGTCTACACTTCGACCTTTGGTGCAGGATAACTCGTCGGGTGTCGAAAATGCAGAAGCCTTCGAGGAAGCTGCAATTCATTACCTCCTCAGCTTAGCTCCTGTTGAAGAAGAACTGCACTCATTCTTAGATGGCGTTAAAAGTGCAGCATCCTTTTTGCTTCGCACCTTCGGCCAAGAGTATTTAAAGCAGGAGGGCGCAATTCGCATGGCAAGCAAGACCATCGCATTATGCTCTCCGGAACATAGAAGATACTTTGGTCGTGTCTGGGACGTCCTGAAAGGACTATGGCAACAAATCGCAGTTCCAACCGAGTCCCTGGACTGGAATGGACTCATTTGCGGCAATATAGCGTTTGTTGTTGACTGCAACTTTCGTGCATTGTCCTTGGACTGTGTTCCCAAGCAAAGAGCCAAATATGTACTTCATCTTTTCAGTGGTCGCAGACGTGAAGCGGATATCCAGTACTGGATTGAAGAGCTTGCAAGACAGACGGGCTGTTCAGTGACCTGTCTTTCGTTCGACCTCGCAATAGATGAAAGATGTGACCTGCTCGCTGCACAGGCACAGTCTTGGCTGAGGCAGATGGTCAAGGCGGGTCACATACTGGCGCTCATAGCAGGTCCGCCGTGTGAAACCTGGTCAAGGGCGAGAGGAGTCCGTCTTCATGACGAGGGCAGTGCCAACCAGCCCAGAGTCCTCCGAACCAACCAGGAACCGTGGGGGATGGTTGGATTGAGTCAGCAAGAACACACTCAATGCATTGTTGGCTCACGGCTCTTGCAGTTTACAATCCTCTTAGTGCTAGATTGCATTAGAGCCGCAACAAGCTGCCTGATTGAGCATCCAGAGGAACCACAAGACGATTCAAGTTTGGCGTCGATTTGGCGCCTGAGGGTTCTACGTGCAATGCTGGCGCTGCTACCCATGAGAAGGCTCCGAGTCTGGCAGGGACAGTTCGGAGCCAAGTCTCCAAAGCCCACAGCATTGATGGTTCATGGCCTTCGTACACTTGAAAGCCGTCTTCAGCAACAACGATCGTTCGAAATGCCTGCAACTCGATCGATAGGTCGCACAGCTGAGGGTAACTTTGCAACTTGTGAGCTGAAAGAATACCCTCCGAAGCTGTGCTTAGGCATCGCATATGCAGTTGTTGACAGCTTCAAAGAAGCTGAGGCAGGCAACCCGGACCCCGAGGAGACTGAGATCATGGACGATGCTTTCCTCGAAGCAGCTCAGTCTCCGTGGGATCCGTACATCCCTACTGCTATGCGACACGACTTTTGTCGCAAGCGGTAGGACACTCCGACCGCTTGGGTCGTTGAGAGAGGTTTCACCCCCATCCCAAAGAGGCAACAAGACAGTGAGTCTGCGTGCCAAAAAAAAGTGTGTGCTAAATGTGTTTGTTCAAATTAACCTTCCAGGCAGTCTCCTGACAGAGTTCATGAAACATGCTTAATGTTTTGCGGATGCTTCATCCAGTGGGAGTTTCTGGTGCAAGCACATATCTGAGGAGCAGATCATCATTATGGAGGCTGCAACCGAAGTCGCGCTGCAGAAGGCCAACAGGGAAACAGGGATCAAGAGGGCTAAACCCAGCCAAAGCGATTGCAAAGGGACTTGTTTCCCCAAAAAATCAATGAATTAAATCGATCAGCCATGCAAACACTTCCAAATCGCCGTGATAAAGGTTCGATCCAGGCGCTTTAACCTCAACATCAATGGATGACACATGTCATGTTGCATCATTTTGCTTTGCTCGTCATCCTTTGCTGTTTTTTGTTGAAGATCCACTCACTGGTGCCACGAGTCTTCCTGAGCGGGTTTTTCATTTTTCCATCGCGCTGGCATCCTTTTTGGTGCCCTTGGCGTGCTTTGGTTTTTTTGTGTACATTGTCCTTCCGCCCACGCTGGTTGACTCACACGTTTTCCTTTTGGTCTGGGGCCTTTCCCCTAAACTCGACTGACACACCCAAGGGGGTGCTTGTCAGTGTTTGCCGACTTTTTCCTCATTTGCCCCGATTGCATTGGTGGCTTAGAGACCATCCTACTTCTCAGAGAGGTGGACCATCTAGGATCTGTCTAGACTCTGGACCACCTCTTGGGACATAATACCGTTTAGTGTTGCTGTGGCTCCCTAATCCACTGCGAAATTTGATGCCTCTTGAGCAAAGAGGGCGGCATCAAATCAAATCTGCAGAGGTTAAGGTTGGTGGTGGCGCAGGCATCGCCTTCCTTTTCCTTGCCACCTGGACTAGCTATTGATGTATGTTTCTCGTCTACAAACCTCAGGTGAGATACCACACAGCAGGCAGGACTAAGGGGTTATGGCGAGGAAGCACCATCCCGTGGTCGCACACAGTCTCTAGAAGCCATGATTTTTGTTCGTAACAAGGACGCTACTAGGGGCTCCTGGCCTTACTACTAGTAACAAGAAGCTACTAGTAACAAGGACACTATTAGGGGCTCCTGGCATCGCTACTAGGAGCAAGGACGCTACCTTACTAGTAACCAGAAGCTACTAGTAACAAGGACGCTATTGGGGGCTCCTGGAATCGCTACTAGGAGCAAGGACGCTACCTTAGCATCACACAAGTCCTTCCACGTTGTTGGAGCCACACTAGCGCTCCTAGATACTGCTAGTAGATCTAGTAGCATGTTTCGTTTGGAGGCTCCACGAATACTTCCGGACAAAGAACGTGTTTTTCTTCTTACCAGGTCTCTCAACATCTATGTCAGCCGCGGTAGAATCAGGAAGTCCATTTCACGTGGTCAGCCTGGATCGGTCAATTATCAAGGAAGCTTCAAAAAACAGCTTTTATCCAGGTAGCGTATGGCTACATGCTGCATTCTTGTTACCTTGTGTACGCGCCAACAACTCGATCTGATGTTTAGAGTTTAGAGTTTACAGCAAGTGGGATTGCCCATCACATCTGCGGGCACCATTAGATGCTGTTAGCAGGCGCCGCGCCTTCTTTTGATCGGCTGCATGCTTTTTGTGTCGGTGGATTGACTTAGGTAACATTGTTTGTTGACCATGTATGTAAACTTGGCACGGTGCCTGCACGAGAAGCAAGTTGTTGCGGGAGACCACACGTCGTTTCTTTTTCAAATGCTTCTTCCGGTCCTGTCTCGAACACTCGACGACGACTAGTTGAAAAACATCAGCCCATGAATTGCTTGGCCTCGTATTCCATATTTCATTCAGTCTCCACTAGCCCATGGCCTGAGAAAGTGAGGCAGGTGTTCTGCCAGCTTTCCTCCACACTGGTTGTGTTCGAGCAAATACCTCCTTGGGACGTGCATCATTGATGTCTTTCGCAAGCTTCTTGAAAATACTTTGCGTTCAGTCTTGAGCTGGCCCCCCACTGAACGTTAGAAATTGCATGTGCTGCTTGGTATGCAGGACGCTTGTATGCCCTCGTCCAGGAGTTCTTGTTAAGCTATGCAATTACCACGTGTCCAAGCGACATTTTTCAACTAGATTCCGAAGCTCTAATGCTTCGGTCTCTTCTTGCCAAAGTTGTCAAAAGATATTGCACCCAAATTTTCTAGCTTCAGCCGAGGTCAGACCCTTGCCTCTCAGACACGGGCTCCGGATGTGGGAAATGCTCACTCCATGATTGTTGTGAATAGGTGGGGATCACATGAGATTCCCTCCACCCAACATGCCTTGTGTTCCTTTCTAGGCTATTGGTTGCATGTCCTCTTTCTTCCTTCCCATGCCTGTTGATCTCTTTTCCTTACTGCACTTCATTCTTTGGGAGCTCCATGGAGCGCGATACGGCTGTGTGTGTGTGTGTGTCACTGCAGGGGCCTTTTGCGTTAAAATCGTGTTCTTTCCTTTTCACGTGTGACTTTAATTCGAAGCACGTATGCCGTATGCCATTGAGATTTCAGGCAGGGGGCTCACGGGTCTGTCCCTGGTGTGAGCCAACGAAGCTCCAGGTTCAGACTATAATATCAAGAGAGGACGCTGTCTCGACTGCTATCTTACTGTAACTCTTGTCAGTTGTGGCGTGAATTCAATTCATTTCAAACCATATCCTTTCAAACTCTACACCTTGCGGTTCTGCTCAGGCCCCTTACAGTTTGACAGGTGGTTCCTGCACCAACTAGATCCTCAAGGGTTAATGCACTCTTGGTACCATCCTGAACTGTGCTCTTCCGAGCTCTTTCTAAGTGTGGCACACGCAGTTGGAACTGGTTCCATTGGTTGCAATACATGCCCTCACAAGTTTCAACTGACAAAAGTTCAAGCTTCAAGCTGTGTGGTTGGGGCAGACGTGCGCAGGTAGAAGAGCTGCTGAAGGGTGCGCGGGGACAGGCTGCCCGGGTGCAACTCCAAAACGAGGCCCCGGAGCATGCACGAATCACCTGCAGGGGGTAGATCGTATTTGTTGCATGGACAGGCTACAATCAAGCAGTTGATGCTCGTTCAGGAGAAGCAAGCGCAGGCCTGAACATTCCCAAGTAATGAGTCACACCCTTCATCGAGACAAACTCAGAAAAACATAGTGTCATGGAATGTCACAAATTGTTTTGCCTTTAAAACTGCATTTGATTCTTTCACCAACATCCATGACAGGCAAACGCTGCTATTCTGCAGCAGTTTGCGAATGACACCCAGCCGTTTGAGAGGTTTGTGATGTGTGGTTTATGTGATGTTTAAAGCGAGACATGTGTACAATGAAAAAAACGTTAAGAATAACTATTCAATACAGTTTTTCTCGAAGGCTTTTCTCTGTCATGGAGATCAGAGCTTTGGATGATCATGCTGGGGACAAGTTGACGGTCAGTTTGTGAGGGGAGGCACTCTTTGCTCACTAGAGCCAATGATGGTATCACAGGTTTTCTGCACAGCACGGGTTGCTCATGCATGCTCAAGATTTTGGAGTTTGAACTGTTTGAAATGGGCATTCTAAAGTTAAGTGTGTCCCTTCTTCAAATCGCTGCGTGAGCTTTGTGCAGCTGATCAAGAAGATCTTGGTCTGGCCTGCCGATACCCAAAGGGACATTCAGGAGCTGCAAATGTATTTGGAGCCTCAAGGGTGCCAAATACGTTCAGGAGACTCTTGCTGAGATATGAGAAGATGACTACTTCCCTACTTCCTGTATATGGTATATAGTAACTAAGAGATTCCAAGAGCCTCGTGAGATAGCCAGTTGCCGCTAATTCGATTGCAGGCAATCTCACCTCCTTGATCGGACGAAAAACTGAACTAGCTGGCTCACTTCCTCGTGTTGAGGCGTTACGAGTTCTTATATAAGAAATGTGTATTTTGGCATGACCTGGCACAGTGTAAGAAAACGAGGAACAATTATGTAAAGTGCAAAAGTTACGATACAATACAATTGTGGCGCGAGCGCGTGGCCTTGGTGTTGTGAAAGTTTGATACTAGTGTGTCTTATTTCATGGAAAACACTGCTGTGCTTCATCGGGCATTCTTACCTTTACGAGAGAGACATTCAGTTTGCACACACTGCTCGGACCTAGTGAAGTGTGTCCGCATGTATATGTACCTTGTCTGCCAGAATTCGCGGGGACGCATGTCTTCAGTATTATTCATGTTGCACAATGTCTTTGCAAGCAGGTATGGTTCAGGGTGAGAGTAAGAAAACAAGGGTGGCGCACACTACATAGAAGGATTTGCACACATGGATGATTTGTAACTCGGTGTTACTGGATGTGGCTTCTGAGTCAAAGATATACACAAACATGTATAAACTTGTATGCTATACTGCTGTCAATATATGATATTGTGTATAATATATACATATATATAAAGAGAGAGAAAGACATGTTTACATGCGGGTAACAAGTTTAATCAACGCAAACATTCGCGGGAATCATGGCATGGTGTGTCCTGTTGATGTGTTGGTGGTTTCAGGGTTCGGGTTATATAACCAGGAATTCCCACCCATTTCATCCAACAACAAACCTTTCCTCACTGTTGAGGTGTACGGTGTATGTATGTCCATCTATGTTATGTTTTTTGTTGTTCAAGTGTTCAATAGTTATGAGGACTTTGAAGGAAATACAGTAATTGGTGTTGGGATTGAATAATGGAGTATCAGTATCACTGGATCCCAAACACCTTTAGTTTCATGTGTTTTAAGAGCCGAGAGAGCCAAAGCCATGGATCTCGACATGGATGGTTGATTTAACGTTGCCAGCACTGGAACTCCCCTGGGAGTTGCCACCCCCTCCGGAAGCTCCTCCAGGAGTCAGTTTCAATGTTGCTACTGCTTCAGGTCAATCTCAATTCACGAGTTCTCAGAGCAACCCTTTCCAAGAGGATTTAGAACCCTTGACGTTGGACGTTCCACCACCAAAACCGCCACCTGCCTTGACTTCAGAAAGGTGTGCAGGCCAGGACTGCGAAAGGTTTCGCCCATGCAGTACAATTTGGCAAGGAGTCAGAGAGAAGGACAAGGACAGGAAAAAACAATCTCCAAGTAGTGAAGGGAGACAGAATCAAACATCGCACACGGAGGGGGTGGAGAGGGTGGGCAATCTGGAAGGCGTCCATGTTTCAGTGATGCCCACAACCGAATTTGAAAGAGTCGATAGTTGGCCTCCAAGGCCATCCCTGGCCAAAATGGAGGATGTTGTTTTCCACGATTGGCAACTACAGGCAAAAGAGGCTTTGATCAACGAGACACTTGATGATATCACGTTTGTTCAAGAAAGTTTCGAAGCTGCTGAAAAGGATTTAGAGTGGCGCAAAGCAACAACCGCTTCAAAACGACAGCAAATAGAAACTCGCCAAGCTGAGCTGTCTGTGTTCCAGAAAAGGGTAATGCAGCAGGAACAGGAAGTTGTGGCAGATGAAGAGCAGCTTCTTTGTCGAGAAGCGCAGCTAGACTCAGATGCGCAACACCTGAAGAGGTGTGAGAATGCCTTGAAGGTAGAAGCGAAACGGGTGCAGCAGCGACGAGAAGATTTGTCTCACAGTGAGCCCATGTTGCGTAAAAAAGAAGAAGAGTTGGCCAAAATGCAAGAGGAGTTGAGTATACTTGAGAAAGAAGTCTTCGAAGCGGAGCAGGACATTCAACATCGAAGCGCGGACATCGCTGCAGCTGAGGCACAGCTCAGGCGTCGCAGGGCAGAACTCAGCTCACGGCAGGCCGAGGTTTCAGAGGACAGACGAGCGTTGCAAACCAGACAGGCTGAAATTCAGCAAGTTGTGCAAGCGACTCCAGCTCCTCCAGCTCCGGCTCAAGCACAGTCAAGCATGCCCGTTCAGCAAGCCAATTTGATGCCTCACGAAGCTGCCAGGACACACTACCAGGCGGAAGCAGTTCAGATACCAGCCCCATGCGTTCAAATGCCATCCGCATCTTTGCAACCACCCGTGCAGGCTCCATTCATAGCACCCGTGGCACCGCCGATTCCAATGCCCATGCCCATGCCAGCTCCTGCTGTGGACCCGGTCCAGCAAAACTTGGCATTGCAACTACAGCAAACTCAGCAGATGTTGCAGATGCAACAAATGCAACAGCTGCAGCATTTCCTAAAGGGAGGTTCGGGCTCAGATGAAGAAAGCAAAGGAAAAAGCAAAGAAACCCAAGAAATGATGCAGCGCCACAGCAAGTTGCAGGCGTTAGAGGAAAGCTTGGTTGCGAGGCTACAGATTTTGGAGAAGCAAGAAGCTTCATTGAATGCTGTCATGGGTGCCGCTGCTCAAGCTGCCAAGGAGACGCAAGAAGCCACTGCTGCCATTGTGAGCCAAAGCACGCAGGCAGCAAAGGACACAGCGGCTGCCATGATGGCTCAAAGCTCTGAGACATTGAAGCTTGCCATGCGCGATATGACCGAATCCCTTGCTGCCAGGGAGCAAGAAGCACTTGATGCTATGAAGGTCAAGAGGCGGCCGAAAAATCAGGTCCCTCTCAAGCCCAAGCCGCCTCAGGCCCAACAGCAGCATATGTTGGATGCCAAAAGTGAAGCCTTGGCAGCTGTAGTTGATTCACTGGAGCACAACGACGACATTGGCTCCTCGCTGGGTAGGAAGCATGAAGAGCAGCAAAGCGCCCAAGAAGACGAAGGCACAAACATTGAAGAGCCTAAGAATGATCCACAAGATCTCAAATCGGATGCAAGCCAACCAATGGACCCAAGTGGCAGTCCCTTGGGCACACCTGCAGACAGAAGCGTCAAGTTTTGTCAGAGCGATATTGAGGAAGAACAAGCGGGGGAAGGGGCCAGCAAACCCCAAGTGCAAGGTGGTGGGAATGTTGGAGTTCCACCGGTAAAAGGGTCAGCTTTGCAAGAGATGAGAAATGCTGCAAGGACCGCAGCAAGGACTGCCTGTTTGGAATCTACTCACGGGGCAGAAAGGTGTTCCATCCCCACTCGCAAAGCTGCACTCCGCCCAGGCTGGGGTGGAGAAGATGCCGAAGCAGTCGCACGTGCTGCTGCCCTTGTCCGCGGAGAGCCCTTTACAGTTGAAAGTGGTGAGTATTGGCAAGCAGGAGACGATGCAATGTCGCTCGACGAAGACGAAGACAATGTCACAAGCACAGGGCATGCCGGACCAGTTACGTCAACCCAGTACGGTGGGGAAGAAGTGGAAGGAATGTCCACAGAAGGAGAAGAATCTGAAGTCAGCGAAGGAATGGAGTTGCATGAGCAGTTGCATGAGCTAAGCATTACCCGGAGTAGCGTTGTGGAGCAGTCTCATCGCGAGGTTCATAGGGGCAAGAGAAATGATCAAGCATTTCACCAGACCTCGGCCAGCCCGAGTCATGCATGGGAAATTGATTTGAGTGATTGGCCACGAATGCCATCCCAGAAGCTGAAAGGTGCTTCCATGGCAGAAGCTGGCAGAAGAAGAATGCAAATTGCACAGAAGGCCGCAGCGCGCTCTGTGGAATCCCCACGGGTAAAGAAGGTACAGGCTCCTGTCCTGACTGCAACGGCGAAGGCCAAAAGCTGCTCTATAAAGTCTAGTGAAGGCAGAGCCAGCAAAGGCCTTAAAGGGAAGTTGCCTGTGAGGGCTGGGAGAGCAGAAGCATGGGAAATCGATGCTACAGAACTAACCGGAAGGAAGGTCACTTCCAAAGCATCAAAGACATCACTGGGAACCCAGGAGAGTTTGAAAGCTGGTTTTGTTTTGTATGTTTTCAGTATATGGAATCGGGAAGTTCGGAAGGTTTGTGCGTCAAAAAGGCACGGGTAGAACAGCCTATGGATTCCCAGATCTCAGGCCACGTGTTGAAACCGACAGGACAAAGCCGACACAGTGGTGCAAAGCAACCAGAGCAGTCAGCGATTGGGATCCCTGAGCTCAGAGATGAGAAGGAGCTCAAAGCAATCTTTCCTGACGATGTTGAATTGCAACTTACAAGAGTCCGTTTATTACAACTGGTTGAGACTCGTAGAGCCAGAAAAGGTCAACGAGTCTTGATCTTGACTCAGCCCTTTTGCAAGGCGAAGAATGCTAGAGCTTGGGAGAGCAATTGTTGTAAGGCTATTAAAGAATGCATAAGAATGCATTTATATACGTATAATATGCTGACTCAGTATTTGTTCTTATACCCGGTTTCACTCCACATGTTGCTTTTCCCAGGAGTTTTGTGTTCCTTCAAAAGCATTGTTTTCAGGGCGTCACGACAAAGCGGACCTACAGCAGAGCGGCGTGCAAGCGGGTCAAGTGCCAGGCTGCCTGTTGATAACCCGGACCATCCCGGCCCATTAGCGGTTATTAGCGTTAGCTAAAAGATGCAGTGACTCTAACATTCATGTTTTGCGAGCATAGTATCAATGATTTAACATGACTTTCCAGTATAGTCTGGTATAGTATAGAGATCATATTCACAGCTTCATTGATTACATTTCATTCCACGTGATCGCATTCGTTTGCAGGAGTTCAAGGCTGCACTTGTGTGACGCTGCTGCTGATCCAGATGGCTGAACAAAAAGATGCAGCGTTGCGGAGTGGCGTCGGAGAGCGAAATCACAGAAATGGACAAGGGCGAGATGTTTGAAGCACGGTTCACCATTCGCACTCGCATTTGCCGCATGTGCCATGGTGACATTGCGCTCAAGCTGTCAATTCATGATAGGACATTTAGACAATTAGCTAAATCCAGTTCAAACTTTTAGGCATTTAGCCAGATAGCTATATCACCACCAGAGGGCCAGACATAAGTAGCTTTTACGGGGTATCATTAATCGGGAGATGGACGGCACGGCAACATTTTCGCTGTCCGCTGTGGGGGCAGATGGCCAGCTGGACATATCATACAGATCCAATAGCAATCCACAAAAACAGGCAAGAACCACAGTGCTGCTGCTACCGTCCCTGTTTGCTTGCAATGCACATACACAGGGCGGCGCATAATTTAGCAAAAGGGAGTACAAAGCTTTGTGCAGCCTCAGCAATGGCTTCAGCCAATGCCCCGACAATGAAGGCATTCCTCCTTCTTTGTGCAGCGAGAGGGCAACGACAAAGCAATGTTGTTTGTTGACGGGTATTGGTTGCGGCGTTACTTTGCTTGGGGAATGTGTGAAGGCATGTGATAAATTGAACAACTTTGTGAGGAAGTGAAGGAAAGAGACATGTAAACTGTAAAGTGGGAAAGTCCCTTGCGCGTACTGAGTGTAGGCTGGCAGAGAGAAAAAGAACTGGCTCATAAATTTGCTCTACGTGCGGCAGGCATCGCTGCCGCGGATTTTGGGATTGGTGAGCGAAAATTGTCCGCTGGGAGTAGAACATACAATGGACAATATCAAATGAAGAGATTTCCCATGATTTTCCTGACATGTTTCAGATGCAGTTTGTAGAAGTTTTTACTATAAGGGAAACACAGTTAGAATATAGATTTAAACAAATTTGAGTATTTAAATTCAGACCCCGATCGGAGACGCTGTGCGCAAATGCACTTCGAAAACAACCAGAACCACAAGAATAAACAAGGCGCCAATAGTTACCCTGTGCGATTTGCAAAGTTCGGACATGTACACTTCTTGAAACGTCCCAGTTTTACAATGTGTGCTTTTCTCACAGCTTGGATCATGTCTTGTTTTATCCCATTATTTACCAGAGACGAGACTGGTGAAATGGAATCTCCAAGGGCGACAAGCCGCAAATGCACCAGCTTTGTGCGCACACGCGTTTTGCAGGTCTCTTGGGTTTATAGTTTTGGAACTTTGCGGGCCAAACACAAAAATAAGGCCATAACACACCGGTCGGCAAATGTCACCAAGACCCATTCCCGGCTGAGCATTCCCGGCTGAGCATTCCCGCCTGAGCGGAGACATGACACTACACGTTTCACACATGATTCATCCAAAGCGTAGCATCAAGACCGTATGCAACTTCATACCAACGTTAACATCACCCCACCCCATCCCGATACCCACCCCATCCAAAGCGTAGCATCAAGTCCATGAGACTAAAAAGTGTTTGGAATAAGGAGCCTCAAGGGGACGCTGTGCATCACAGACTTGTTAGCTGATATTGAATATCTATGAATATCTTGCATTATTGACTTGACCGCGGATTATTTGCATAAGCATGCAAACACATCATGTCTTGAAAAATATGTTGCAGAATATATAGAGGTTGAACCTACCGTATTGTATATGAGGGAACCTCAAAATTATCATCAACCACTTTAGTAAGGGACGTTCCATCTCTGTGTTGCTTTCGTGATTTTCCTTGAAAAACGATAGGGGACTGACAAAAAACGATACCCCTATGTATACATACTTGCAAAATCCAAAACCATGGAAAACGATAGGGGACTGACAAAAGTGAAACGAAAACACTCCGAGCATATATTCTTGACGCTAACTCGTATGAAGTGGCTATGTCAAAGCAAGTAGAGAGACTGCAGTTATAATATATGTCCAACGGTCCATACTTCTAGTCTCTCCGTCTGCATTTTCATAGCCAATCGATATACAATACAGTCGGTTTCAACCTCGCATAAATTGCATAAGCAACAACATATTTTCAAAATATCACGTGTGTCAATAAATGTGAATGATTTATTCAGCTTGGCTTGTATTGTAGTAGCTGTGCAGTTAGAATATATGTCCAACGGTCCGCACTTCCACAACCATGATGTGTGTCAATAAGTGTGGATGATCTCTTCATGTTGGTTTGTATTGGAGTTGTGGAAGTACTAACTGCGGTCTTTCCATTTGCTTTGACATAGCCAATTCATATTCAATACGGTAGACTCAACCTCGATATAATCAGCAACATATCTTTCAAGATATTTGATGTGTCAACAAATGTGAATGACCTCTTCATCTTACCTCTTCGAATATGCAGAGGTTGAAACCTGTTGTATTGTAAGCTTCTTCGCTATGTAAATGCAGATGGAGAGACTGCAGTTGGAATATTTTTTGAATTGTCCGTACTTCCATAACTCCAATACAAACCAAGCGGAACACACACACACCACATCTCTTTGAGTATGTTGTTTACTAGAGGTTGAAACCTGCTTTGTTGTTAACTGACTTTGTCAGAGCAGATGGAGAGACTGCAGCGCAAACATATTTCCAACGGTCCAAAATGAAGAGGTCATTAGCATTTATTGGCTTATCTCTTTAAATATGTTGCTTATTTAAGGTTGAAACCTGCCGTATTGTATATTTACTGGCTATGTAGACGCAGATGGAGAGACTGCAGTTAGAATATATTTCCAACTGTCCGTACTTCCACAACTACAAGACAAACCAAACTGAAGAGATCATTCACACTTATTGTCTTATTGTCCCTGATTTCATTCACTTTGGCGGGATTCATGGCCATGGCTCTGAGATTTGGGGTTGGCGTTGGGTGACGGCCCTGGAGCGAGAACTGCTCGGGAAGCGCAGATCCTCCAAAGGGAGCAAGAAGAATAAGAAGAGACTGGAGATGAAGCGCGGCGGCTCTTGTTTTGCGGCGCGTTTTCGCCGTTTCTATCTGCGGCGTGGATCACGTCGCAAGAACCACAACCAATATACATACAGTACAAAGCCTGACTGCGCAGCACGGTAACAAAACATAATACATACAGTAAACACACCAGCCAGCAAGCAAGCATTTCTCGATCCAAATCATCCAGAACAACTGCAACAGCAACAATCGTAACGACATACTTCCTCAATGTTTTCTCAGACATGTATCTTCTATTTGCGCCCCGTTTTCACAACTTGTTCCGTATTCTATTTCTAAATCTTTCGTATTCTAAACCCATTTACACGTTTTCCATATATATATATATACTTTAACTGATGTTCCGCAACTGTATACATGTCCTCAAAGTGTCACCATGTGGCGGAGCTATCATACACAAGCGCTGTAACACAGCGGTCTGTCAAACAATTGTAGGTTCTGGGTTCTCTGCCTTGTTCACTGCACGCTCCAGCAAATATTCGGACTGCCAGCGGATCTATCAAGAAGAAAGCTAGACGAGTAAGCAGCTTCGCTTGACGATTCAATGATTTCGCGAGCAGGAGCTAAGAGTCTTTACTTATATACATCTATGTGTCACACAACATAGCCAGCCTCTGGCCCGACAGTGTCAGAAAACGAAAGATTCAACCGCCAAGAAGCTCTCAAGGCCGCCTAAAATTGCGATGCTATTTTAAAAAGAAAATGAATGAACGATTGAAGTTTATTGGGCCTGTAAATCTAGATAAGTACCAGGGCGGGTAGAGTGGAAGTTTGAAGTCCTTCAAGCTCTTGAACTTTGTTCGTGCTCTGAAGCTTTTTTGCTGACCTTTGAGGAATTCAAAGAATGTATGGAGGTGATTGAGGAGCAACTTCGCGATTCAAATGGAATGTTCCTGGCTTGCAGGATGCGGAATGCTCAAGCGTCCGCCTTGGAATTGATTGGTTTGGGCCAAGGTGCGAGTATGCCATATATGTCAAGGCGCTCATTAAGAGGCAAGAGGGGCAGGCAGGTCAGCGGAAGAGTTTCGCAATCAATGCATTCTTGTCTAACAAGCGTCATAGTTTGTTCATGTTTGTTCAAACATGAGCTTCGTTCTTGCAAATTGGGCCCAGTGTGCTTCAGTTATTATTTGTGCCCACAAGTAAGTGGATGTGAGCTACGTGTGTGTGTGTGTGGAAACCTTGGTGTCAGAGGTCACCGTTCTGTGTGAACTTGCAAGGATGTGCAGGGGTTTTTGGATTCACGCCACTGGGGCCCCAGAGGAGCGGTGGCCAACGCAGATGCGCTGGGGGGGAAGGTCAAGAATATACGACGAGCGGAGCAGTGCGAAGCTGTGAGACGCTGCGAATCTGCAAGAAAGCGACCAGAGCGGCGAAGCTGCCGAAAGCTGTGAGAAATAGCAAGAATGCCACAAGAAGCTACGAGGGCCTTCTGCGAGACCTTTCTGCCAAGCCCCTATGCGAGACGAGACCCTTGGATAAAGTCGAGTTCCGCAACTGCGCAGGATTCCGCAACTAGGATTCCGCAACTATTGCGTCGGATTCCGCAACTGGGGTTCCGCAACTAGGATTCCGAAACTAGGATTCCGCAACTGGGATTCCGCAACTAGGCTTCCGCAACTAGAATTCCGCAACTAGAATTCCGAAACTAGGATTCCGCAACTGTCAGGAGTCCGCAACTAAGATTCTGCAACTGGGATTCTGCTACTGGCGTTCCGCAACTAGGATTCCGCAAAATTGTGGATTCCCTCGCTAGGACTCCGCAACTTTTGTGAATGATGAGGGCGTTGGCGTGATGTCGAGATCACACGATGGGGACAAGGGGGGGGGTTGGGTGGGGGGCTAATGACGTTGGTTTGGATGTGCTTCGAAGATGAAGTCACAGGCACACGCTATCGCATGATGTGGAGATCACCAGTTGCAGAATACCAGTTTCAGAATGCCAGTTGCAGAATCTGACTTTCCAGTTTCAGAATCCCAGTTTCAGAATCCTAATTTCAGAACCAGTTTCAGAATCCTAGTTTCAGAACATCAGTTTCAGAATACCAGTTTCAGAATCCAAGTTTCAGAACCCTAGTTTTCAGAACCCCAGTTTCAGAACCCTAGTTTCAGAATCCGACCGATTAGTCCCGAATCCGGCTCTAACCAGACCCTTTTGCAGCGTCCTTTTTGCGAGACCCTTCTGCGAGATCCTTCTGCGAGACTGTGCTGCGAGACCCGTTTGCGGGACCCCTGCGGGTCGCCTTGCGCAAGATGCGTGGCTCAGCAGGTGCAGTCGGAGTGGCGCGCCGCCAACTTCACTTCTGGGGGCTCGGGAGGGTGGACTTTCTGCGAAACTTCCTTCTGCGAGACCTCCTTCTGCGAGACCCCGTGATGCCCCCTTCTGCGAGACCAACCCCGCAGCGATGACAGCGCCACAGCAGCCCGCTTGCAGCGCCACAGCGGCCTCTCCAACTTCTGCCCTTTTCTCCTTTTTTCCTCTGGCGGTAGAGTCGGGCGAAGCTGAGACCAGGGGATCCGAATGGAGACTGACCTGCCTGTTATACCAACGTAAATTCCGCGTACGCTTTGAATTGAAAGGACCTGGTTAAGTGAAGCTGACATTTTCCGAGGTTCCCCCCTCACTAGGGGTGGGGATGATGGAAGCTGATCTGACAGTTGTGGACATGTGAGGCAGCCCCGCCACCGAGCTTCAATCTCGATGTCCAACCACTAGACAAAACGATTCTAGGACAGGGCTTCAGAAGGCTTAAATTTGGAGTCAACCCTTTTTTGACTCCAAGTTCCATTTAAACCCATGTATGAGAATATTGTCCTCGGCTTCAGAAGATCTTCTTCGACTTCACAACATTGTCCTCGATGTATGGGTGTTGTCATCGATTATGACTAGTCGCGTGATTAAATTGGTGATGTCTCCGGAGCACTCGCAAGATATGAGTTGTGAGATGTGTACAAACATCCGTGTTGGCTCACACCGAGGCCGTAGGTTGAAAAGATGCGCGCGGAATGTAACATAACTTATAACTGCGAATAACAATTTCGAAGCAATCTATAAGTTTTAACAGGAGCACTTCCCAATTCACGATGTTCCCATGCGGGCAGGTGCAAGAATCCCTGCAGCTTTTCCAAGCAGCTACTTGCATAAGCCCTTTGAACGTCTACAATCTCAAACAGGCCGTTTTTGTGCATAGCAAACATGTGTTTCTTCAAGCAACTGTAGCACCTTGTGAATGCTCAGATGGGAAGAAGCCTTTATTTGCTGGGAAAGCATCGTGGAGCCATAGAGGCGCGGACTGAAGTTTTTCTTTATTATTTGGACAGTATATAATCGAATCGATGTTGTTGTATGCTTTTGTTTCGGGAACCATGGCATTTTGAGTGGAGAGACTTTATATATATATATATAGGTTCGGTGCGTTTTCCGGGCCCCAATAAAACTATAAGTAGAAAACACTGAGCCACACTGAGCCCATGTATATAACTGTATATCATGTTGTGAAGTACAGATATTACTTGTATACAGCCATTATGATTTGTCCTCTGCATTTGCTTCTAGCAACTCACATCAATTTTTGTAAATCATCTTGCAGCAACTGGACGCGGCATATGTAATCAAAGTTGGCGTCTGCATTTTACAACAACCATGCCTGTGTTTATAAACAGTTTTGTGTTTATAAACATGTCTTGTGTTGGATACACTTGTTAGTAATTCATAGTCAAAGGAGTGGGGCGCTCAAATTAAAATGGTTCGAGATTCCTTCAGGCACCAAAAAAATCATTTCAATTTTCAAGATGTAGGGTGCAATTATATTTAGTAAGTTTGCACTGCAAAACAATGAAGTAGTTAGATACCTGGAATTGCCTAGACACATATAAATAAAGATAACAAACATATATGGATTCCCGCCCCCGGGGGTAAAGAGTAACAGACCTGTGATTCCTTATTCCGTAGTGTTTCGGCTTCAGTGTCCTGGATGAGCACCTGTAACGGGTGTAACTCCAGGTTTGCGAAAGCCGGTCGGCAGCTCGGGGTACTGCGATCCCTGCTGGCTCGTGGTCCGCATAGAGAGGTTGGTTTTTACCAGGTGCCCACCTCATACATCTGGTGACCTGGTGGAGTTCCTCAAAACCGTGACCGCGAATTTGGAGAGGACTTGTGAAAAGTTCGAGGCGGACCGCACTGCCGGCTTTGTCACAGAGGACGGGGAACCCATCCCCGGAGCTCGCGAGAGGATCCTTGCAAGTTGGGCCAAGAAGGACACTTTTGAACAGGGCATTCATCGAGGCGAGAAAGACAAAGAAGCTTCATCGACGAGGAGGACTTCATCGGACAGTGTCATCGTAAAGCAGGAGAATCGGGGAAGGAGCCCCTGGTGGACGCGCAGGAAAAGAAAGGAACGAAGAGGGAAAGGTCAAGGAGGCGCAGAAGATCGAAGAGTTCGACCCGGAGGTCACGATCAAGGCATCGTTCAAAGAGAAGAGAAGCAAAGGAGAGAACGGGGACACCACCCCCTGAAGAGAGCGAGGTTGAGGAGAAGCACAAAGAGAAGCCCAGGCCATCAACCAGGGTTGAGGAGCAAGAGGAGCTTCCAGAGGAAGAAGAAGTATATACCCAACAAGAAGAGGAAGACGACGAAGAAGCTTGAGCTCAAGAGGACCGCAAAGCCATCTGCCCGCAAGCCATTGCCGCGAAGGCCCCGGTCACCTTCGTACTCTCCACCCGGGTACCACGACCGCCAAGGTCAACCACCCAAGAAGTGGAAGGGCATCAAGCACGTCATTCGAGGTCAGTTGTACTACAACTCTGGCTCCCAGGGAAGAAAGGGCCAGGGAAAAGGTAAAGGAAAGAGATGGCACCGAAAGTAGCCAGAAGGCCTCCAGCTCTACCCCGGCGAGCCGGCGTGTTGAGGAGACCCGCCATAGCAGGGGACGGGGATCGGGGGACATCCCTGCCCTGGAAGAGGAGTTGAAGGTTGGCGACATCATTCACGGGGAGGATTGCAGCTACTACGGAACTCCCTGCCAGATCACCGGAAAGGTGGTGGAGATATGGAAAGACCTGTCGGGAGGCTACTACAACGTGCGGCTCTATGGCACGAACGCCGAGAACCTGCTTACATGGGCGAGCGCGCACATTTGCCCAGCAGAATGCGGACAGGAATCGGTGGGGCCACGTCTACTCCATTGTGCAAAACATCGGGGCCTGCGGTCTCTGGAGGAGATACGAGACCTGCCCTGGAGAGACGTTTTGCTGAGCGCCGGTCGTCAGGAGGAGGACGAGTTGGCAGGACTTCGAGGTCGCATGGACAAGATAGCAACCCCCGCCGTGGCCGATCCAGGAGCAGGAGAGAAGGACGAAAAAGAGGCTCAGAAGGAGCCAGAAAAAGAAAAGAAGAAAAAGAAAAAGGAAAAGAAGAAGAAGAAACGTGCAAGGAGTTCGTCCAGCAGTGCATCATCGAGCACGAGTTCAGGGGTGAGGCACAAGGCCGTACAGCAGAAGGTTATGTTCGGGGGGAGTGGTCTCGATCCCCTGAAGAAGGCCAGAAGGTGGCAGAGGAGAAAAGCACAGAGGTACGCACAGCGCTCTCACGGTCGTGGAGGAGACAGCAAGAGCGACTCGAGCAACGAGGGGATTTTCTTGAAGGGGCAGGCCATTTTTGGCGAGCCTCAGCGGGTTCGTGCAGTGGCTATGAACTTTCCAGGTGTTCTATCAGCCCAGACGATCGAGAACATGCAAGAGTTGATGTTGGCCGAGGCAGGGCAAGAATCAGCTCAGCAGGACTCGTGGGTCCCTACATTCCTGAAATATTACCGCCAAATGCTGAGCAGGAGAGTCTCTGGCCCGATGAACAGAGAGCTTCATACACTGCGCACGGTGGGCGATTTGGTATTGCGCGGCCAGCTTCCGGAGGCCATGGACACCCTTACTCAGAGGGTGAAGTCGCTAGAAGCCCAGATCGGCCTGCCGAGCGACACGGCTACGCTATCCTCGAGGCAGGAGTTGAAGATAGCAACAACAGAGCAAAAGGCGGAGGCGCAGGCACACCAGAGCGGTGCATGGTGGAGCAAAGGAGCAGGCAAGGAGAGTGGAAAGTCCGAGAAGACAGACAAAGGAAAAGGAAAAGGAAAAAAGGGGAAGGAGAAGCCAAGGAAGGAGTGACAGAGGTTGAGGTGATGTGTGAGGGCCCGGCGGCCCGGCAGGCCTTGACGCTGGCAGCACGGGGCCTTTGATCCCTGTGGCATCCAGTGCAAAGCAGTACAGCAACAGTACAGTTGAATCGGGGATGGAGTGCCCTGAGAGGAGTGCAGAGAGGCGGGGCGGAGACCCTGTTTGTGAGTATGATGGATCTATGATGGCGGGCGGCGCTACTTTCAAGGAGCTGACGCCTGCCGACGCGCGGCCTGGGAGGCCACACGGAAGCACTACGAACAGCACAGCAGCTGAAACGGGGTCGGGTGCCCTGGCTGGTGGAGCGGTGGATGTCTCTTTCCCACCTGTAGCTCCGATCAATTTTCCCTCAGGGATATCGGACAGCTCGGCACCGATCAACGTGGTGGCTGGGCGGATGATGCCCTATATGCGCCCGGGGTCCATCCCCGCGGACCGTGATGGTAAAGGAGTGTGCGGTATGCAGTTATTTGAGATGGGTGGTATTTTGGGCGAGAGTTTACGGTCGGTTTCATCGCTCTGCAGCCAGTCCACGGGAAGGGGGAGTCGAGAGGAGGTGCATGTCAAGCAAACATCCACATTTCCCCTCCCCACCGATCGTGAACTGATTTTGCAAGTCATACCTGAAGATCATGCTTGGACAGTTGAATGGTTGAGGTGCATGTGCATGGCATTGAATTCGTTTTGGGGGTGCCCAGACCAAACGCTTCAGGAACAACCGAGTGGAGATCAACGTCGTTCAGCTACGAAGATGCAGGCTCGGATCCTGCGTGGGCTGATGGAGGACGTGACTAGGCTGAAGGAGGTTGAAGAGGTGACGGAAACGTTCGATTGGGGAGATTTTTCAGGACCCGCGGAATTGACCACAAGGGGGACGAAGTGAAGATTGCCTTGGGTTTTTGTTGGAAAAACATTGCACCCGCTTTGCCAAAGGAGATAGGGGTGGCAAATCTGGTTGACATTTGTGAACAAGGGTGCAAGCACTACATCGAAAATTTTCCATCCTACCTCAAGGCACCACATGAATGGGGGCCCCTTAGGAAGTCTCGGGTGATGGTCAAGGAGGATGACTGGTTTGAGGTGGCCGATGGGCGGGGATTTTTGGTGTTGTCCCTGAGTCAGAGGTCTTTAGAGTGGGCGGGCGGTTATTGCTCAACGGGCTATTCGGAGTGGAGAAGAACGAAGAGACGAACGGAATCCCGATATACCGCCTTATCATGAACCTCATGCCGCTCAATGACCTTTGCCAAGGATTAGCCGGAGATATACCAACACTCCCTCATTGGTTTGGCGTGACACCTTTCCATACTGAGGCGCATGAGAACCTTGTGGTTTCGAGTGAGGACTTGCGGCGTTTCTTTTACACCCTGGCTCTGCCCCCTTGCTGGTTCCCCTTCCTTTGCTTTAACAAGCCCCTGCCTGCTCGATTGGTCCCTGCTGCGTATCAAGGGGAGATCTGCTATCCTTGCTCCAAAGTCTTACCTATGGGTTTCCTCAATAGTGTGGGGATAGCACAGCACGTTCACCGCACGCTGGTGCTGCGTTCGCAACAACACAACCATGCCCGAGACACGGAACGCTGTGAAATCCGCAAAGACAGAACACTTCCGGCGGGAGCCAGTAGTTGGCGAGTTTACTTGGACAACTACGACCTTCTGGAAAAGTACCCTCGTGAAGCTCTTTTGGAAGAGTCGGGGACCACAGCCCCTGAGATAGAAGCGTTGCGAACAGAATACCTTGAGTGGGGACTCCCACGTCATCCTACGAAAGGAGTTGGCAGGCAGGTGAAGGCAGAAGTCCAGGGCGCAGTAGTCGATGGTCAACGGGGATTAGCATACCCTAAGGGCCAGAAACTGTCAAAGTATGTCACGATTGCTCACCAGCTCACGCAGGAGACGCATGCAACACAGCGGCAAATGCAAGTGGTGTGTGGAGGATTGGTGTATTTCTCCACCTTCCGACGCCAGCTTCTCGGAGGTTTGAACCTCTGTTGGAACTTCATCGAGTCCTTCAATGAGCGAGGTCGACATAGGCTGCCCATTCCGAGGAACGTCAAGCTGGAGATTCGCAGATTCCTCTGCCTCATTCCATTATGCCGGATGAGCTTCCGACTCGAGATGAATCCCCTCGTGACTTGCAGTGACGCTTCTCAGCATGGAGGAGGAGTTTGCGTGGCCACAAGCTTGACCCGTTTTGGAGAACAAGTCGCTTGCGGGGGTAGGTCGCTGGAGATGCGTAGCCAACGCGGAGGTCGAATCCTGAGCATCGGGATGTTCGATGGAATCGGAAGCTTGCGGGTGGCCTTGGACCTGTTGGGATGCGAGATTGCGGGGCACATATCCATTGAGAAAGACCCTTGTGCCAGGCGGGTGGTTGAGCATCACTTCCCGGGCACAGTACATTACCCTGATATCGCCGAGGTGGAAGAGAAGGACGTGATCAGCTGGTCGTTGACTTTTGGCCAAGTCGAGATGGTCCTTCTTGGCGCCGGTCCGCCTTGTCAGGGAGTATCGGGATTGAACAGCCAGCGCAAAGGCGCCTTGAAGGACGAGAGATCATGCCTATTCGTTCACGTGAATCATGTCGAAATCTTTCGGGGACGTCCCCTGGTCGTGCGATGCCGGAAGTCTAACTTGGTGCAATCGACCACGGCTCTACTGGGTCACATGGGAGCTTCAAGCCAGCAACGAGAACGTTGAAGTGCGGGGACGAGACTTGATCCTGGTCGGGGACCATCCCTGGGAAGACAGCGTAGAAGTAGGTTGGAGCAAGGTGGACCCTCTTCAGTCATTTCCAACCTTTACTACATCACGGCCAAGGAGTACACGCGGGCACAGGCCTGCAGGTCTTCAGAATTGTGATGAAGAGACGGTCCGTCGATGGGAAGCTGACTGCCATAGGTTCCCACCCTACCAATACTTGCCACGCCACTGCTTGGTGAATCGGAGGCAGGAATACAGGACCCCGAACATCGCCGAAAGAGAGTACATGATGGGTCTACCGGTGGGGTACACCCAAATGTGCATGAGCAAGAACCAGCGCAAGGGCACGGACTACAACGACAAGCGGCTCAGCCTTATTGGAAACGGGTGGTCTGTCCCGGTGGTAGCTTGGTTGCTGGGCCAACTGGTTGGCCCACGGGGCTTAGGCCCTGCTCTGACGCCGGCGGAAGTGATTGGTCGCTTGAATCTGGAGGGAAACCCATTCATACAGTCGAGATTGATGCGCCCACCGCTGAAGATAGACAAGACGGCGTCCGGCGTGAGCGAAAAGACCCTGGTACAGCAGTTGGCGGGGCTGGTGTCTACAAAGGGAGCGGACTTGATGCTGAATAGCAGCCCGGAGGAGATTCAAGGCCATCAACGCCTGCGACACACAGTCAACCCAAAGATGTGGCAGTGGAAAGTCATTTCAGGCTGGAAATGGGTCGGCAGTCAGGAGCACATCAACTCTTTAGAGCTTCGTGCATGTCTGGCATGCGTCAGGTGGCGTTTAGAGCATCTCCGAAACCATGATTGTCGAATATTCTTTAGTATGCCTTCACAGTATGACGAGAGGACGAACATCGAGCCGACGCCTGAGGAGGACCTTATGCCGAATCAACTCGCTCTTGCTAGCGCATAATGTCAGTGGCCTATGGGGATATGTAGGCGCGGACCTCAACCCGGCGGATCGCCCGTCGCGGTGGGCTGCGCGGACGAAATTCCGTCATGCCATAGGTTGAAGGAACAACACAAGCTAGAAGAGCACAAGATCGGCAGAAATTAGGCACGCTTAGGCAGTTGACCGTCCAACCGTCAACCAGAGCTCGTTATGAGAAGGCATTGTCAAAGTTTCTCGTTTTTCTCAAGGCCGAAGGCCTGGAGCTACCGCGTCGTCGTGAGCATTTAGACCCGTTGGCCATGGAGTATACATAGAACACTTGTGGATATCGGGGGAGGGGCGTGGTCTGGCCGCCGACACCCTGGCGTCCTTACAGGACTACGACGCAAAGATTCGGGGACATCTCCCTGGAGCATGGAGACTTGTTAAGACGTGGGTCACCCACGAGCTCCCAAATCGGGCGCCGCCCGTCCCGGAAGTCGTTCTGCAAGGTATGGTAGGCTGGGCACTGTACCACGGGCACTTTGCTTTCGCTACAAGTCTGCTAGTGGGGTTTTACGGCGCCCGGAACCGAGTCGAGATCTCCTCAAAACTTCGTACTGCTGTCATAGCGTTAGGACTCACGGAGGCCGGGAAGCGCGCCGGTGTCCAGGAAAGCGTTTCTTTAGGACATGACACCGTTTTTCGCTATGTACAGCACTGGACTCACCTCACTTCGCCTCCGCACAAACTCTGTCCGTCTCCCCCAAGGTGGAGAAAACTGTTTAAATTATGTGTTTCCAGCCTCCAATTGGAATCATTGGAGCTCAGACCGTACTCGCTACGGCGAGGAGGAGCCACATGGTGGTTCAGCCAACATGGAAACCTGGATAGAGTAATGATTTTGGGCAGGTGGCAAGCCCAAAAAACAGCAAGGCTGTACCTGAACGAGTCACGGGCCATTTTGGCCGAGATGCAACTAGGACCTTTGGAGAAGCTTTTGGCACCTTACCGAACGTTTTTCATATATTCAAACCCCAGGTCTTTTGAAACACTTGAGCCGTTGCAAGGCAACAGGCCGCCCTCGGTCAAGCGAGGCCTGGGGGGACTTGGAAGGAAGAGAAAGAATTCCAAGCCTTTAAAAAAAACCAGCAGCGAGGTGAAAAAAAAGAAAGCTGGTGTCCCTCAGGACCCGGCCAGGGTTTGGGGTGTGGCCCACCTGGTCGGGGGGGGACGATTGTCCGGGAGCGCCCCCTTCCCTGTGTTGTGGACCAGGGAAGGGGGGGGGCAATCAAATCGACTGCGGGAGTACCCTTTTTTGTTCCCAACTCTTTACATTATTGACAAACTTGCTGCAGAGCGAATAAGAAAACAGGCGCTGCTTACTCTTATATATATGTGGTAATTTCCGATAGTCAGATACTACAATGCAGTATATGTACTCACAAACTATATAAACATAAGCTCTTGACAGACTACTGTGTTTGGGGCCCGGAAAACACGCAGCGCCCATATAAATATATATATATATGCATATTGTTGTGCTTTAATATAGGGGTCCACACCTTAACTCATCCCCTCAACTGCCAGGGTGGGGTAGTGGCCCGCTTAGTGTTGCACCCGGGGATTGAACCGGGGCCTTATGCGTCGAACCACTAGACCATACCGGCCCCCTCTACATATATTGTGCATTTATTTATACTATTGCGCATGTAGTGCTTGTGGAGTCGACTGCAGCAATGCATATCTTCCACCAAGAATGTTTGCAGAACAAATTAGTGTTGCAAAGGTGTATGATGAAGCTCAAAAGATTTCTCCAGATGACTGGGAGATTTGGCACAACAAAGGCAGTCCTGGGTCGTGCAATTTGCAATCGCGACATTCATTGGTGTCTGCTTTTGCTTTGCCTGGTTGTTTTTTTTGGTGTGTGGGTGTATGTGTGCACGTGCGTACGGTCATGTGAATTTATACACAGGTGTATCATGGTTGGACACTAGCGCTTGGCAGGTCTGTGTTACATGTACCTTCGGCAATATGACAACTCTGTCGAGTGCTTCACCAAGGTTTGATGCTGATGTTGTTTAGTCTTGAGTTTCGCAAGTTGAAGGCGTCATTCTGAATTGTAGAGGCGAACCAGATTCAGAGACATGATGTCACCTTCATGCAGCTTGGAAAGGCGGGACAAATGATGTGTATGTTTTCAATACTTGTAGTTTACAAGAACAAATTATAGTCTTGAGCAGAGATACATTTCCACTAGAGCAGAGGCTTTATGGACACAGTGACAGGTCATTGAATGCTGGAAAGTCCACATGGTTTGTAACTGGCGCAGGTGCATGCCTTGCAGGAGGACCACAAATCTGCCATCGATGTGTACACTGAAGCGGGGCTAGACTTGCAATGGTGTTGTGGCGCGGAAGACCGCTTGGCCATGACACAGGTTATGGTCTAACTGAACTCAGGCACTTGAGTTTTCCCCGGAGCATGCCGAGTTGCTGACAACCCTGGGCATCCTATATTTACGGCCCTTGCCTTTGTGTTCTTGCTTGCTGATATTCAGGGCAAGTCACAATTTCAGAGGGAAATGTACGTACTAATATGTTTGATAATCTAAAGTGTCATCCAAGTATAGTGAATTCAAGATCTTTGCCCCTCAATCAAGGATGGGTGAGAACTTCAAGGCCTTTGTTTGGTGCCCAGCGAGGGAAAGGTATCTCATGCACTTCTCTCTTTGTCGCTGCTTATGCTCGGCTTCAGGATTATTTGGGGAATGCCTTGACGCATGATCCCAAGAATGCTAAAACGATTCTAGCAGCTGGATCGATCATCCAGGAGCTGGAGCTCCTTCTCACAAAGTATTTTGCTTTGCTGTGAACCATCTCGCGGAAGGACCACTCTGACATGGATGTAGCGCTCATCAAATACCGAGTCGCTGCTGTTCACACTCCAAACTCAGCGCAGCTTTGGAACAAGCCCGATACTCAACTTTGAGGGTGCCAAGTCATCTAATCAAGATGCCATTTGTCGGGTGTGCCTCTTGTCGATTGAAATGTGCGCATGTTTTAGGTAGTTCAAGCTCCGTAACATGTGCATGCGTAAATATAGTATATTATATGTATGGCGGCCGGCGGCCATGTACTTAATATGTACGAGTATATGTGTACATATGTGTATATATACATCTAGGGCCCAATGAAGGGAAGTGGAACTCCTACCTCTAAAACGTCCCAGTTTGGTGTGCCACCCCGGCGTTCTTTGTTTCCACTGCACAGCTCGACTCATGGAATGAATGGGGGGCAATGGCCGCACCTCAGCAACACGATCCGATAGCCCGGTTGTCTTCCTTTGAACCAGAATCGGTGGTCTCCTCAAATTTGAAGCACCAAAGGAACCTCATCTACAAACCGCAATTTCTACACCTCGCGATGGTGTCGGTTGGGTCCCAGATATATCCCCTGGTAAAAAAAACCCAATGTCAAAGTGTATGGTTTTCTCACATTGTGTCCACCAGACTTGAGTGGGGTTGTGGGAGGTGAAACCCTGAACCGGTGTCAGGTAAAACTACTTCTACGATTGTAGTACATCACAAATACGGGTCCACCATCCCACGATTGCGCCCTCACGTCAATACCACTATTCTTTTCTCGCGTAGCGCCTTCGGCGTCTGTTGATAGACGATAGATGCTGCAATTGGCATATGAATACACTGTTCAGAAATTCAAAAATCAAATGAATCTTCCATCATCTCGTTGAGTTCATCGTCATCCGGCCACAAGAGATCTTCCGCTGCAGCCGCTGCTGTCTCTGAGATCCTATGGGCCTTGAAGGCGTCCGCTCCGGACGACTCACCCTGTGGCTCCTGATCTGGCCGCAAGATCGCAGCCGCTGCAGCCACTGGTGTATCTGAGATCATATGGGATGCACAGGCGTCCGAATCAGCCTGTGGCTCCTTGCCAGGTAATCCGAGAATACCCAGCCCAAGATCAAGCGCCAGTTGGGAATGCAGTTGTGGAGGGAAACGGAACATGAACAAAGCACAAGATTTAACAGTGCATAATGTTGGAAATATAGCCTCAGCGACAAAACATCAGATGTAACACCGCACAGTGTGGGAAGCAATTTCAGTAACAAAAAACTCAACCTTGAGAAGGGCCATTCCAGCAAAAAAGTAAAGTTGCGAAGGGCCAGGCATTCCAGAAAAACACTTTCCAACTTGGAATTTCCAACAACCAAAACATAACGTTGGGAAGGGCCATTCAAAGGAGATTCAATGAACCTCGCTGACCACCTGCGTTACACACTTTTGGGGGGCAATACACCTCCCTTGTATGGCGCTTCGTAACGTTACGTTGTTACACTTGCACGTTGCTTCCCTGTCCTTGAACAGCTTGTTTGGGCAGTCAACCCAAACAGTTCTCCGATCAATTGCAGCCTGATGACTGGAATGAAAATACTCTGGGGGCCAAAACTGTGGGACTTCATGGTTTGTAGTGAAGATCCTTGGCGTTTGCGCTGGAATGTGTCCGTCAGAGCAACGGTTGTGCACATCGCGTGCGTGAGTCACATCGCACCAAGCTTTCGCATCATCAATGCTCACTGTCCTGAAACAAGCCTCATCGACAACAAGTCCCTCACCTGGGTGCACGGTGATCTTATGCATCTGATCAAGCTTGCTGACAAAGTGGATGCCAGCGCGGCATGTGGACAAAAGCACGGATATAGCCATTTCAGTCTTCCCAGTCCCAGGCGGACCACGCAGGATTAAGGTATGGGTGAGGGATTGGGTCTCCTTCCACTGCAGGACCCGTGGAGGTACATCAAAGTGCTCCAAAGGAAAGCGTGGTGAGGTGATAAGAGTTGAAGCCCCCAAGGTTTCAGGTCGATGCCACGCAGCCAAGATTTTCTGCACTTCCGCAGCTGGATCCCGAAGCTGCCCCACATGGTCCCAAACCAAAGAGTTGCCACGCATCTTTTCCTCTTTGGCGGCCTGGCGATGAGAGGGAATTATAAACAAAGCACTTTGGGCATGACCACAAAACCCGCGGCATCCCCAACGAAGTGATTGGACCAAACATTGGACTGCCTATGATGCACCTTGTCGTTCCAACCGCGTTGTTTCTACCAAGGAGGATGCTTATCTAAGACTGATATTACGCTTGATGGAAAACAGTCTCCAGATTGTATGTGTGCCAGGCCTTCCATAGCTCTGCCACTGTTGAAATCTTCCTTTCGACAACAAAGTCTGTAAGCTCGCTAAAAGACATGCGCCGGCGTCGTTTCTGCAAGGCCTCCGACGGACCTTTCTGCAGCCCCTCATTCTTCTTTCTGCCAGCCACCTGCGAGGACATCCCTGCAAGCTCGCCATCAGCTTTCTGCTTGGTGTAACTTGACGGATAAAACACAAGGTCACGGTCTAAATCATGCGCTGGTTTCTTTGCGCTCTCCATCATCAGGTAATCCAGATAGGCGCACCAGCCCGCGCGATGAAATGTGAAGAATCCATGGTACCCAAACTCTTCGGCCAACAGCTTGCGAACGCCAGCGTGCACAAACGGAGCTCGAAACAGAAAGATGAGGTGTTTGTGTCTTTCCCGAGAAGCACCATCGGGCTGGTAATGCTTGTGCGGTTCATCCGCCACGGCAGCCTTCACAAGATTGTGCAAGTAACCTTTGCTCTTCAGCGCTTTTGTGAAGGCCTCCAACAGTTTCTCCTTGGAAACATCACAAGGCTTAAGGACCTTTGCTGCTCGTCGATCTTCCAAGTCTTGGAAAAAATGCCGCGGACATGGCCAAGTAAACATACCAGCATATGCCCTCGCTTTAGCTGGTGCATTCTCAGCCTCTGTGGAAGTGTCGCTGTTGCCCAAAGTCACAGATGGTTTTTTCCTCCTCATGGCTTGATGAAGAGGACGAAGAGGACGAAGCGGGCGAAGCGGATCCGGAGGACTTCGACGTGGCCATGGCCTTGGACATGATTAGTGATGATTTACAGTTGCGTGCATTATATACAACTACCATCATAGAGTCCTAAACTTGGTGCGTTTTGTTTGGCAGGAACCACAGTTTGAGTAAACTAAAAGTGCGCCAAAGCTTGCGCCTTCCACGAAAAATGAAAGCAAAGGTTCACCAAACGCTGCGCCTGCCACAAAACCTGCACTTCGAGGTTCATAAAGTGCTGCGCCTGCCATGAAATCTGCACTTCGAGGTTCACAAGACGCTGCCCCTCCTACGAAATCTGCACTTAGAGGTTGACAAAGTGCTGCGACTGCCACGAACTCTGCACTTCGAGGTTCTCAAAATGCTGCCCCTCCTGCGAAATCTGCACTTTCAGGTTCACGAAATCTCCACTTCGAACTTCGAGGTTCCCAAAATGCTGTGCCTGCCATGAAATCTGCACTTCGAGGCGTACAAAGCGCTGCGCCTGCCACGAAATCTGCACTTTCAGGTGCACAAAGCGCTGCGCCTGCCACGAAATCTCCACTTGGACGTTCAGAAAGCGCTGCGCCTGCCACGAAATCTGCACCTCGAGGTTCACAAAGCCCTGCGCCTGCCACGACATCGGCACCTCGAGGTTCACAAAGCGCTGCGCCTGTCACGAAATCTCCACTTTCAGCACAGCCAGCGCGGCCAAAATCGGAGTACTCCCCACACGAAAACGCAAATCATAACGTTGGAATCCAACGTTACGATCCGTTTTCGGCGACAGTTTCACAAAAAAGTGCAAATCATAACGTTGGACTCGGTTCAAAAAAGAGAATTACTATAATCTTTTTCAAACGCGTCCAACGTTACGATTTCGACTTTTGTCCCACGCCTGCCACGTAAAACGAGCATAACGTTGGATTCCAACGTTACGATTCAGCGTCTGGCCACACGTTGGGCCACCTGGAGCTTCAAATTCCGTGCGCCGGCCACGAAACATGAAAGCAGGTTTTCACCAAACGCTGCGCCTGCCACCAAAAATCGAACTAGAAGTTTAAGAAATGCTGTGCTTGCCACGAAAAATGGAACAAGAAGTTCACTAAATGCTGCGCCTGCCACGACAAATGGCAACAGAGGTTCACCAAAAGCTGCGCCTGCCACGAAAAGTGGAACTAAAGTTTACCAAACGCTGCGCCTGCCCCGAAAAATCGAATCAGAAGTTCAACAAATGCTGCGCCTGCCACGAAAAGTGGAACTAGAAGCTTACCAAATGCTGCGCTTGCCGCAAAAAATGGAAACAGAGGTTCACCAAATGCTGCACCTGCCACGAAAAGTGGAGCTAGAAGTTTAACAAACGCTGCGCCTGCCCCGAAAAATCGAATCAGAGGTTCACCAAATGCTGCGCATGCCACGCAAAGAGGTCCCCTGTGCGTGCCACGAAAACTGATTCCACAAGTAGCGCACGCATTGACGGTACCTATGGGACACTATGCAAGAGGTTAAAGGAAATGAGTGTGTTTTTGCATTTTCTACACATCACTTGTGACACTGCGGTTCCTCTTCGACTATTGAGTGAAAAATGGAAGTTCTCTGTTTTGAGATGGAGCTGATCATTTCAATATGTTGTGACTGAGCCACATGATGATCGAATCAGACAGAGGTTCAGCAAGGTGACGGCTTCCAAGCTCTGTTCCTGAGGTCGCCCGGCGCGCAAAAGCACGCTCGAACGCAACTTCCAAACTCCCCCAAAGTGCGGACACCGCACGGCACTGAGAAGGCCGAGGTTAATGCGAATGAAAGTTTGGATCCATGTGTCCAGTGTGCATATCAATCGGACCCCAGCAGCCGAAAACCGAAACCATGGGGGTATCTAACACTGAAGGCAACGCCAACATGCCCCCACCGCGTCGCCCAACACGCCGAGCGGCCACCTGCATGACAAACGCCGCAAGGTCCAAGCCGAAGGTCAAAGCCTGCAGGTTTGCTCTGCAAGGCGACGGCTTCCAAGCAGCCTGTTCCTGAGGTCACACCGGCGCGCGACAGCACGCCCAAATGCAACTTCCAAAATT